GCTTATTCTGAGAGTGTGCAAGCGTGATATGAAGCCCCTTGGGAAAAGCAGATGTGCCACCCTAAGAGGTGAATTGTATTTTACGGACTAAGTTACAAATTTTGCTAAGGCTACCTTAAAAATGGGCATAAAGAGGTGGAATTCCAAAGATTCTTATCTTTAAGGTCCAGGGATAATCAAGCAAACACAATGACTCTACTTCTCCTCAGCATGTCATTTATTTACTAGTCTTCTGTTGATACACATGTGTACTTATGATTCTGCTTGCTGTAGAAGATAAAACTAAAATTTGCTTTCTATGCCAGCTGTTGTTTTTTGGTTTATTTTTCTCTTGAACAAGGAGATATCCTTCTTGTTAGACCTGAATTCTGTGCTTCGGCTTGCCATAATCATAAAGCACATAGGATTTGTGTTCAAACCAGGCCTGGCTCCCTCCTAGGGAGCAATTTCACGTTACAAAATCAGCTTATAATTACCTAAAATTTGCCACAGGAAATTACGTTATGTTTTTTAAATGCTTTCCCCTTTAAAAGAAACAGACTGTGGAAGGGGAAGTCCAGATTTAAAAACTGAAGGTTAGTCGTGTTGTTTGGAGGAAGGGATGGAAAGAGAGAGGCTACTGCAACACGAAGTCCGGGATCGTGTGTGCACAACTCCTCTGGTATTTGTAGAATACCACCCTTCATGCAGAAGTAGTAGCAGGACATTTTCCTTTTATTTGTCTCAGTTCCTGGATTTTACAAGTTAATGTATCCCTTTCTCGCCAGGCAGCAGCCGACCAGAGACGAGATTTCCATGCCATATTGGGAAGGGTTCGAATTATGTTTTCTGTGGTCTTTGTCGTTGCTACATGGTGCAGCAAAACTTTTCTTGTGTTGTGACAAAAAGCTGTGCTAATGATAACAAACAATAGTTCTCCCTGCTACTGCAGATGACTCAAAGGTTAATTCCAACTGTTAACGTAATGGGCACATCCAGAGAAAGCTTTCAGCAATAGGGCATTTTGTAACTGGCATCTCGCTGTTAAATTTGTCTCTCTAACCTGAGTCTTGCTGATTTTTTTCAGGGCACCACATGTCAGTAAATACAACTCTTGTAGATAGACACACAGTCAGGATGAACAGGATAGGAAGTCTTTCCATGACTGTTGAAAGATAACATGATGGGGTATATCATAGTTGGTCAAAGCAACAAAATAGAGTTCAAAAAAAAAAAAAAAAAGAGGGGAGAGAAGAAAAGAAAAGACAGAGGGAAATGTTCTATTTCACTTCCCCTGAGCAAACATGTAATTTCCATGATTTCTTTTTAATGACTCTCTTCTGAAGCTAGTAGGTACTGATTTATGAAAAGCTGTAAAAGATCAGGTGGAACCCTGCAGGACGTCGTTTACAGCTGCACGGATTGCAACCCATCTAATTTGTCTTGTAAAGTGTGAGCTCATGGCGCACATCACCCAGACCATAAATTTCGTGTTCAGACCTTCTGTCTAGGGGCTGGGTCAGAGGGAGAAAAACTGCCGATGTGTGCAGATGCTCTGAAAGCCCAGCTTTCCCTTGGTGCATGCGAGGAGACATCACAGACTCTTCACAGTGAGACAAATTCCTGTTCATTGATAAACTGTCCAGATGTCCTCTCTGAGGAGGAAAGTAACTAATTTTTGTTTGGAATCCTACAAGGAGAAAAATGATACTTTACAGTGCTGGTTATTCTGAGGTCACTTGCATTAAAATTAGGTCATATTTTTTGTCCTGATCATTCTTTGATCCAAGTAATAAACATAAAAGCTCTTTTGGGCCACTCTAATTCCTAATCCTAGAGACCTGTTCTATTTCAACATGTTTATACTTTTTTTTTTTCATTAGTGATTCTTGAGTCAGGCCTTGTTTTATTAGATTTAAGTTGAAAAGACATACTAGGCTGGAAAAAAAAACCCTCCATGCTTTATCACTAAGAACACTTCATAAATACTCTTAATAAATGTCTTGGGATTCCAGATGCTGTACCTAGAAAACGATAAATAAAAAGCATTGGCTCTTCATGGGACAAACAGTAGTCAGGGAGATGCAGGCTGTACAGCTACTGAATAAAAATATTTTGGGCCTGATTATCTAACCTGAGCCTTTAGCTGGAGAGCGTTTAAAGCTGTATGTCACTTAGGTGCCTAAGATCTGGTTGTAGCATGAGAACAGTAACCTGAAGCGTGCTGCATCTTCTGTCCTCAGCTCAGTCTTTGTGTCAGTGTGGCCATGCTGTGCTTTCCTTTCTTTACTGTTTTGGGGGCAGAGCAGGTTTCTGACGTCTTCTGTCACTTTCCTTTCCGTCTACGGCTGTTCCCAGGACGTGAGGTCCATAGTTGGTGCCAGTGATCACGGTCATTTGCAGCAGCTCCTTGTCCTGGCTGGGCTCCGGAGGGAAGGTAGTCGGGTGAAAGGTGCCTGATCAGGAACACCGCTGCTCTGAGACCTGGTGAAAATTGATGGTGAATCTACAGTGGTGTTATGTCCATTTGTGGTTTGGAAGTTAAGATTTTCAAGCATCTAATGAGCTCTTTAATTGTGGCCTGCAATCCCAGAAGGGAAGAAGATATTAAAATAATTTCCTGAGCCTGAAAGAAATCAGCTGATTGATAACAATTGGCAAAACATCAGAAGTAAAAGGCGCTGTTTAATATGTAGAAAATACCAAGAGTTATTGTTTAGCAAAGCTATATTGTTCTTTTCTTCAAAAGTAAAAGGTAAAAGTCTCGGTATAACTGGTGCGGTATCTCCTGATTCCAGTGCAAGTCAGATGTACTGCAAGGGTATGCTGTTGCAGTGCTGCAGATCTTGATGAAAGTTAATACAGACTTGCGTTGGGATTGAGAAGTTTTGTTTGGATTTTCTCGGCTGCTCATTCACTGGTATTTAGACACTTTGTTCTCTTTGGTGCCTTTACAAGCTCCCCCTTTATGTTTTTTCCAGTGCTCAGAGATGTCTTGGGTTTGAGGTGAAGAGGGTGTTTTACAATCTAGATCGGTTCTCCAGTACCAGTAACTGTCACCTACCCATTACACTGTGTAATCACTGCCTTTGAATTACGGTGTTAGTCTAATCACCTCTCATTTTCACTTCTTTCCAGTGACAAAAGTCACTTCAGATGGATTCAGCTGTAGTAGTCAGACTCCTGTGCAGGTGATGTTTCACTAGAGCCACGGGCAAAAAGAATTAGGGGCCAGAAAATAGACCGTAAAGTTGCAGTGCAAACTCCTTTGAACATCCTCTAGTTCAGTCTCCTGTGCTCATGAGTAGCACCGTCATAGTAGCACAGCTAAGCGCATGCTTAGCTTTAAGCCCGAGATAGACACCCATAAGGTTCTTTACTTAAAATGGAGCACGTGTGTTTCTGAGTGGGGGCTAAAAAGCCCAGGATGGACATATGTTTGTCAGTGGAGGGACAAATGCAGAAATAGAGTTGATGTCTCTAATAACATCTGACTAGTCGAGGAAGTCATTATTGTACTAATCAGCACTGAGAGAGAAAGGTAACTAAAATTAGTAAGATGTCTTGTCAATAGAAAAAATTACTGATCGCATGGCTGTTCAGGGGCTTCTCACACCTTTAAGAAAAAATAGCAAGCCAGTGAGGAGGAACAGCTGAGAACAGCTTCACCTCTCTGAGCGCTGGGTGTCTCCTGCAAGCTGTTTGCCTGGAAGATCTGCTTCAGAGAGGACAAACCCTCTGCCTGGAAATGCGTGTGTGTCTCCATGGACTACAGCAATAGTTCAGAAAACCAGTTGGGCCTGTCTGTGGTATTTTTAGATGGCTAAAATGAGGTGTGGTAGAGCCTGGACTCCAGTGACTTCATGGGGAAGGGCTGGCATTTATTTTTAGTCTCGATGCTCTCAAATAAGAAGTTACAGTATGCTTACAAGAGCATGAAAACAAGAGTATTCATACCAGACAGAACTGAATTTCTGGATCAATGTGGGAGCAGCCATTTTTGCCATTTGCAATATGCAAAGTGCAGGGTCCGCTGCAATATAGTCCTTCTTGATAAAAAATTATACATTTAATTGTTATTTTGAGAAGGATATTTTTTTCTCAATAGCTTATCGGTAGACTTATGCAGATGGAAAAAGGTTTAAATGGGCAAAGAAGCATGGGCATGTGTTTTGTTTGATTCACTGTGTTGGTTTTGTTTGTTCCTTACTGGTTTCTTCATTGTTTTCTAAGTAGAGAACTCGGATGCAAATCGTGTCCGTTCAACATCCTTCATGAGCACCAACTTAATTTCGAAGGCAGGAGATGATTCGGTTCTCACTTCTAAATTATTTCTATGATAGCCTCATGGAAGTTTCAGTCTTAGAGTGAGCATCAATTTTAAACTGGACATGGCAATTGCATTTTACGTTTGGCTAAGTGTATTTAATAACAAATTTCCTCATTTCTGCCTCTGTGCACTGCAGAATGCAAGTCTCGTGCAGTTACATTTGTCTCACAAATTCACTTAACATTTGATTTTTAGACTTGATACAATTTTTTTTAAAGCCACTGGTGTCTTATTATTTGTGCTTCTAACTTAGTAGCAGCATTTAGGATTTGTCAGTGGGCTGCACATTTGATATGCGTAAATTCTACCAACACACGCAACTTGGAGTCTAGAGTGTGCATCGTTTGTGTGTTGTTTGGGACTAGGTGAATCACACAAATATAATCTAAATTAGGTTTGTCTTTGCTAATGCTTCACACATTAAATTGTAAGGTAACAATACACTTCATGAATTGGTGATGCTTCAGTGATTTAAACATGAGAAGCTGGCGCTCTTAAGCAAGACGATTACGCAGCGTTCATAGAGGTGCCGGCACGAGTACATGCGGTGGCCTCAGCAGCAGATAACTTCCACAGACGAAGGGAAAAGCCACGTCTAGCCTGGAAGCTCCTGCCGATGCCAGTGCTAAGTTTAGACACAAAATAAATCCATATGTATCCCTAACTTTCATCACATTCTTTTTTATTTCAGGCCATCAAATCTTCTCCTGGACCAAAGTAACATCGACATTTCAGCCTTCCGCACGACAGGTGATTGGCTCAATGGTTTTCGGACAGGACAGTGCAAAGACATTTTCACAGGCGTGGAGTACAGTTCCTGTGATACAATAGCCAAGATTTCTACAGAGTAAGTTTGAATTGACTGCAGCTCTTCATCATTGGTTGTGGCTGGAGGTACAAGCTTAAACATAAGCGTAAGGGTAGCGGTTTTATTCGGAGTTTCCAGTTTTTAGCTAAAATATTCTTACATTTAAAGAGACAAATGTAAATTATTGTTGTATTTGCAATACACATGCAGGAAACCTAGATGCTCTGGTGATTGTGTGAAGGCCACGGTCCCATAGCTTTTTCTCACTGATGTCAAGGAAATTCCCAATTTCTTCTGATACAGTAGCACCATGCATCATCTGGTACACCAGCATCGCTTTCTTTCACTCACAGTTTAGGACTTTCTGTGTTGATTCTTTATATTCTAACTTTTATATGGGGGTTTCCCCACAGCTGGCACGTGTGCCAATCTTTTCCTTTATTGCCCATCCCATATTCCATCAAACCAGGTGAGACAGAGCAAGCACTATGTAGCTGCTTTCCTCCTACGTGGTAATAATTATTCAGGGTATGAACTCCCTCCTGCCTCTAGTTTTGACATTTAAACATGCTAAACTTGTACGTTTACAACTTGCAAGTTTATTGCATTTAAATGCAATCTATCTTTGTTCTCGTGATAAGGAAGAGTAGGGTAATGTTCTCTCTGCACCTGAAAAGGCACCAAGTACAGTTATGAACTTAATGTCAAAGGAAATCTTGACTCCCTGGGCTAGCTGGATACCCGGCAAGTTATGAAGAAGTAAGCAGCAGCAGCTGCGGTACCGACAATTAAACACATCAACGCTGTTAATTAGTGTATTATTGCAACTATAAAAAGGCTGTTAATGGCTTTTTGTAACAATTACCCTTTGGGGACAGTGCAGAAATCCTCTAGGAATGTCCAATTTCCTGTGAGCCTGTGTTAGCCCTTCGCAAGTGTTAAACCAATTCTGTGTCGCACAAGGAACACAGAGACTGGATGGCCTGGAGAAACGAGAGGTGAGGAACGGGGTGGATGCTGGAAGCTTGGCCATGTAGCCGTTAATCTCAATGCCGATACCAGAGTTAAGACGACCATTCAGAGGGCTCAGCACATAATAGCGAGATGTCAGCACCGCTCGGGAAAAGCGATCAGGCTGACAGGGGGATGGAGACAGTAGAGAGGCTCAAGATGGCAGCTGGCCCAGAAGCGAGCCCCTTGCCCCTAAGTGCCAGTGTGTGTATCACTGGAGAGCACTGTTGCGTTGTCTTTCCTTCCAGGTAAGCAAACACAGCAAGGCTAAATGAGTTTTTACTCTTTTTTGCGGCCCCCTGCTGTTTTCATACAATGGGTCTCGGTACTTTCGTACCAGGGTTTGTGTTTCAGCAGTATTGCCATACCTGCAGCCTCCTCCAATGCAGCAATATAAGACGAGCGAGTTGATTTCTGTTTGCTCACGTCAGCCGTAGGAAGCACAGAGAGAGTATGCTCACTCACCCGCTGCATCTTCTCTTTTTTCCAGTGACATGAAGAAAGTCGGCGTTACAGTTGTGGGGCCTCAAAAGAAGATTGTTAGTAGTATCAAAGCTCTAGAAACTCATACAAAGAACAGCCCTGTTCCTGTGTAAGGTACCAAAATGATGTGGCTCAGGAGAGGAAAAAAAGAGAAAAGTTGCATCACGGGGCAAAAGTGATGGCTGATAAACAGCAGAATTTAAAGGAGTTCTTTGCAACAGCTTTGGAAACATAATGGTTGAAATTTCAAACCCACTAAGACACTCAAATATTGAGTATAAATGCCTTAAAAATAGGAGTGAACTTGTTTTCTATCCATTAATCCTAAAGGGTGGGTGCTCTTGACTGACTGTTAATGCAGATAGTAAATTTCAAAAGAAAAAAATACGTAAAAAATCCTTCCAAGTAAAAACCAGTAATACGAAAACCTAGAGCCATTTGAATATTAAGTGACTGAATAACACGAAAACCCCATGGACGTAAAAGCTGTGTATTTGATCTATACAGCAAACAAGAAGAAAGAAAGACTTGCAGTATTTTTATACAGAAGAGATCTGTAACAGGTATTTTATTTCTTTAAAAGCAAGGAAAATAGAGGACTATACCTCACTACCTGTCTGGCCATATTTACTATAATGTCGTTGTAATATGCTATTTCAACTTCAGAAAGGAACGCAGAAATAAAGTTTGTAGTGATTTGAGTTAGTTGACACAAGATTTTTGCCATTATTTTAGCTTCACTTATTGTGTTCATTTAAATAGAAACAAGTCTTAATTTTTAAGACTTATTTATTTCCTCTGTTTTTTTCCATTATTGTTTATATTTATGCTTAAATACCTTAACCTGGCTGTATTATTGCCAAGTGCCAAATGTTATCAAAACTTCATTGGTTCAACCTGAGAAATTGTCTGAGGGTTAATTACTAGATTATTTTATACTCATAACATTGTATATGAAATACAGAAGGAAAGAAAGATGGTCTTTTTTCCAGCTCTGACGCTAGACAAAGCATCTGGACTTGCTGAGATTCCTTCCATTTGCTGTGAGTGGTATTTTAACCCTGGCTTGAGTTCTGGCAGAGTTGTGTGCATATCGATCTCTAGATCTGGCCCAGTCAAGTACATACATCTCATTTACTTCCCAAAGGCCCGCTTCCCTCTCAAAATGAGGACCCCTGTCCTCAGGTGGTGTTCAGGTGGGAGATTTGCCTAGCAAACAAGAAGAAGAGTCAGGGTTGCGTCCTGCGTTAACTGAGGATGCTTTCTGAGTTCCCTGGGGAGTGGTCCATTTCTGGCTGCCGTCTGGCAGGCTCTGCTCCCGACGCTGGGACCTGGGAGGTGTACTACCACGTGGGCAGCCGCTGGTCGTTACGCCGAGATGGCGACTTGCAGCCAAGGATAAGTGGATAGTTTCAAAGGATGGCTTAAGCTTGTGAAATGGGACTTTGGTATGTAATTTTACCTAAGTCTGAGCTAGAAGACATCTGTCCAGGTGCTGCCATCTTGTAGGAGCCTTGCTTTTTGGCACCTGTTCCTTGAAAGAAAGCAGAAAGGAGCCTGTCTTTAGGAGAGCATTCACATTTCCCGGTGGAAAAAGGAGCCTAGAAGGTGTGGGATTCAAGAGTCCTCCCCCATCTTCAGCATCTTCCCAACAGCAAGCTCTTAAGCTGTTGCTCCGGAGCATGTCGGTCCCGATTCTGAGCAAACACAACTCTTCACTGGTCTGAATCGCAGTGTGGGGCACTTCTTGTGCTGTGTACACACGAGCTTCTTAAAGCTCTAGAGGTGATGCCAGGCACGCAGACGTCGGGCTTTGGGCACTGGTGGAAACCACTCTGATTCCCAGCTTGCCTTGCTGGAATCTAAACCTGATTCTGATGCATAACAGTGAGTCCCTGAAAGTCCAAGACTCTGTGAGAGGCAGATGACTATATGGCACGCCACATTTCGCTGTGTGTGCAAAAGCAGGTAACTAGTTGTGCTTTCTTTGTTGTATTGGTTCGGTTTTTGAAGCTCCTTGTAGCATAGGGCACATAGGTAAGGGAAGAATCAGTTCCTAAGATTTGTGTGGCTGAATCAGCTTTTAAATTGTTCTTCGTGGATCCAGGACTTATAAAACGTAGAGACACAATTTTTATCGCGCATTGCTAAATAGAAGCAGAATTAGAGACGTTTTAATGAGTGCTGACAGTGAGCATGCTGTAAAGGACTGGATTTGAAACACACTCACAGGATAATAATTAGTAATATTTTCTGAAAGAAAAATGAATGGGTTTTAAAGTAAGTTGAAATGAAAAATGGAAGAAAATTAAAATAAAGCACTTAAGATGTAAAGAACACCTCCCCTTACCTGCCCCAATCTACCGTGAAATGCAGCGTGCTGAATAGAAAAGCTGTATTTTCCATTGCTTAGTTCATTCAGAATCTTTCTTTTCTTCCGTTTGAGATTGCTCAAAATCAGTGAATTTAAGTCACCAAAATCCATTTGCAGACATTGTCTGTGTGGGTGCAGCCTTTTATAACATATTCCTTGTGATGTTTCTCTTCAGCTTCATTCTGCTGCTGGAGAGTGGGGGAGAGGGAGCTGGGGTGGGGGGAAGACATCTGTGAAATGCTTCTGAAAACACAGAACCAGTTCTTAGCGTTTTAGATGACGGCTGAAAACTTTGCACCAACCACCCTCAATTTTCTCGTAGTATCACGTCATGTTCCTTGCCCACTGTTTGAGCATGCTCAGCGTAAAAGTTTAAATCTCACTGATGCTTGGGAAAAAAGAAACTCAATTTTGCTTTTCTTTGCTATTAGGAGTAGAGAGTTTTAAAATACGTTTAGTTTTCTCTCCCTGTCAAAAGTTGATTTGTACTGTAAGTGGCCTCTGTTGCAAGCATCCTATACTCCCTGTCCCCGTGTACATATGTATACATAGCAGTGTACAATTCTTCATTGTGGAGTAGAGATACTAGAATTCGTGTGGCCATCTTCCTGTACAGGACTTGCATCGGTTATCAACATCAAGCAAAATGCAACTACTCATAAAATGACATGCCGTATTATTGGTTTTGTATCTTTAAATATAGTTTCCATTTATTTATTTCTGATAACATATCTAGTTTTGTGCTGTTACTTAGCATTCAATAAGCAATGTATAGATGTGATTTGATTGGCAATATGTATTTACGTTAACTTGTATTTCAAAGCATTACTTACTCATTTAGATTGTGCAATTGTAGATGGCCTCTTACTAATGTAAAATGATTTGTAGTGGAAACATTTATATTTTTATAATAAACATAATGAAAGTATTTTTTACATACTGGAATACTGAGGTGATTGCTTGGAGGACAAAGTAAATTTATTTGATTAGAAAAGTGTGATAAAATTGTAATTAAATATGGATAAATTCTGAGTGTTAAAGCATGGGTTCAGAGTGAAAGCTAGATATTACCTATATTATCTATTAAAAGAAACAAGTAGTGCAGGTTTTAACTAGATAGACCATCATTTGTGCTGAACGACTTGTATCAGTCAAAGACTTTACTTTCTCCATGGATATGTGAAAACATCGTCTACTACAGCCTGCCTACGGGATATTGAAAAAGCTGTCATTTATTTTAGTTGTGTCAAGTATTTCCAAACTTTTGCTTTTTTTCCTCCCTTGCCAGTGGACCTCTTTTCATCTTATTACTATGTTGAATCCAGTAAAAGATGTACTTTTCAACAAAATAAAAAAGCCCACCGCTTACTGTAATTTAACCCCACAATCATTTCTTGCCTCTGAATATCTGTATTAGATAATATTTTGCTCCTGTTTTGTTATGTCCCTACCAAGTTGTTTCTGTATACTTCACTGAAGTACAGTGTCTTTGAAAATGCCAACGTACAACTCAACTTTCATCTCAGGAATTACCTTCCTAGAAAAATAGGAGTGGTTTGAATGTTCGCCAGTTACTTGAGGAGTGAAGTTACAGGATCTTTCTGTACCATAAATGATTTTGCATGCTTTTGTATATGACTGTGCTTACTGGTGCAAAATAATGAATGATATGCCTGTCCTGGAGTCTGTAAGTTGATAAACTTTATGGACGTGGATGTAGCATACTTTTTTTTTTGGCATTTTGTCTTGGTATCCTCAATAGAAAGGGGAATCACCGAAAAGAGCTACCCAGAATTGGACTTCGCTTTAAATGGCAGTAGTTGGACTGAAATCCACTTTTTCTTTGTAACACCAGTATGCCTCGTGCTGTGCTGCAGTGGGTACCTATGGTGTCATTTTAACTTCCAGTGAGTGGGTTTCGATGCTCTACTTGAACGACAGGGAAGCAGCTCTTTTGGTCTAATCTATGCAGTGTGCAAACTCTTTACATTGCAAATAGGTTTCACTTCAGCAGTTGTGTTACACTGACTTGCGTATATCCCTTTGTCCTTACTGGTGCATTGTATTTGCTTTATATCCCAAGGGGCACAGGGGATATTAATGCTTTTATAACTGGTGCGTCTGTTATAAAATGGTATTAATATAGCCAGTTCTGGAACGGCAGCAGGATGCATTCACATGAAGAGCAGCAGAACAAGCCCGTGCCTTGCAGCCCACCACCATGTCTCAGCTCAAATCTGGAGGGATAAATTGCTGATAATCAGTTCCACAAATTCGGATATGCCTTTTTATTTTTAGTAATGTCCAAGTGACGTTTTTCCACTCTGCATTCCTTCTTAAGGATGATGCCTAGACCTAGATATCTATACCAGTAAAAGCCTAAGCAGTGCCAAGTGGAATCAGACATTTAGTTCTGCTGTCTCATATATGCCACTCCTGTTAATTCAGCCAAATATCCATACTATTGACTTCCCTTCAGTTTCTGAGCCACTATAATTCCTCAGATTCTTTCCAAACTATCACTGCCTGGTCAGTAATTCCCCATTTATATGTGTGCACTCAGTTCCTTTTTCAGTCCTCAGTCCAATTCTTTGTGTATTTCTTAATGAATTTTACTGTCCTAATTTAAAAATGTTTCTCCTAGAAATATTTCTTTCAGCCTTGATTCATTCACACGTATAAACATGCACATGCTCCATCATCCAGATTACTAATGCAAACAGTGGACAGCACGAAACATGAAGGACAGCCTTCTCTTGGCTTCTATGCTTTTCAGATGGCCAGAGAACCTCTGATAAATGCGAGTCCTCAGTACACAAGATTTTTCAGCTCACTCTGCTTTCACATCACAATGATTTCATAATAGCCCATATTTCCCCAGTTAGCTCATAAGAATATCATGTGAGACAGCACCAGAAGTCTTACTAAAGACATGATAAATCACATCTACTACTTTTTAGATTATCCTGTCACAGAAATAAATTAGATGAGTTTGACATGAATTGTTTATTCTTCACAAATCTTAGTTGGT